ATGACTTGCAGGTTTCTAAAATTATTCATCAATCTATAAAAAATATTTTTACTTGTAAAAACTTAAAGCCTACCATTAGTTATAAATATATAAAAATTATACAATTGTAAGAGTTTTTTAACTAATTTAAATATAGATGAAGTTAATAATTTACCTTGTGAGTGTGAAAATAGATTATTTATTGATACTTTTCATAAACATATTATTACTGGTAACTGTTATGTGAAATACTTAAAACAGAATCTAAATACATAATTGCCACAAAATGTAATAAACAAGATATTCTGAAATCTGTTGGAAACAATATTGGTGAATACATTTTGAAACTTAACTATATTACATCTTATCTGCCCAAATGGTTTTTGGAATGGAAATTGTGTGTACTTAAAAAAATAAGATTTAAATTGTCCTGCATGAAAGTAAAGAAGTGTCGTATAGATTTATTGTTTCAACAGTTAAAAAATAAGATTCAAGAATTACAAGAAAAATATGTTATAGTTCCCATTGATAAAAGTAATTGTAAGTTTGGCTTTATTTGGAAAAAGTTTTACGTATTAATTATGAGAAATGAAATTAATAGTACACAAATACTTAAACTTATTAATCAATCCAATGATATGGTAATTAATAATTTCATTAAAGCTTATAGAAAACTTTATTTTAAACCAAATTCTTTTGTAGATTTACTTTTTTTTTGTATACTATTTTTAAACTCCATAGATATCCAATTAAATTTCTAGTTCAATAAAAACAATTATTAAACAACCAGCCATATTATTAAATAAATTTCTTAACTTTCTATTTGATAAAATTAAAAATGTAAATATTAATAATAAGAAACAAAGTTTTTGGATAATAAAATAATCAACCCATTTTAGAATACCTAAATAAGTGTGAACAAGTAAAAAATATTCAAACATTTGATTTTACCACACTGTATACCACAATTCCATTGAAAGACTTACTTTCTGTTATGAATTCATTAATAAAAAAAATTCTGTTATCTTTTCATAGTACTGGAAGAATGACAATTTAGCTCGAAAAATATACAAGATATATTAAGTTTCTGCATTTATAATAATTATGTTTTTTTCAGTCACCAGGTATTTAAATAAGTAATAGGAGTTCCAATTGGAGCTAACTATTCTACTTGTATTGCAAATTTATATCTTTATTTTTAT